CTAATCCCTACTTACTAATACTAATATTAGTAAGTAAATTTAGCTTTATTTTAGCTTACTAATTATATTAGCTAATAATAGCTTATAAATTAATTAATACTATATATTACACTAATTTTTAAAATGTAATGTAGTGTAGTTTTACTACACTACACTACACTACACTAAAATTCACTAAAAACTACAAAACTACACTACTTTTAATGCTCTAACTATAACATATTAATTACACTAAAAATATTTAAAACATAGCGTTATATTAGGCCTAAAATAATGTAATATAATATAACACTTAAAGAAAACTACGTAATAGCCTTAAACACTTAAATATTAGAATAGCTACTTAACTAGTATATTAAGGCTAACCTAAACTTAGCCTAAACCTCTACTATACACGCTCTAATAAACCGCTATTAGAATAACTAGCCTAATAGGCACCTTTAACCTATATAATCTAGAATACGCTTTATATAATTATAGGTTATAGCGGGGTAGGGATAACCTAAAATAAAAGTAAGGGGGTTTTTCTTTTTATATAAAGGGTTTTGAATTTTCCCACTTAAATTATATGTAAAAGTACTAGAATAGCTTATAATAGCTCTAGGGTACTTAAATAAATAAATAAATGATTTTAAGATTTATTTTACTTTTATATATTATTTAATATAAATTTTTAAAGAGTATAAGTTTATTTTTTAGGAGGATTTTTTTTTTTTTATTCTTCTATAAATATATAATTAAATACTTATGAATTATAAATATTATTTTTATAATATTTTTAAAATTTTATTTCTTATTTTATTTAAGTTTAAAATAATTAAACATTCTTAAAATTTTAACCTATTTTTATTTTTAAATTTTACTTTAAATAAAATAATATAAAATATTAAAAATATATATAAATAATATTTAAGTATTAAATTATTAAATAATAATTTTAGTATTTATTTTACTTTTATATATTATTTAATATAAATTTTTAAAAAGTATAAGTTTATTTTTTAAGTGGATTTTTTTTTTGGAATTACTGGGACCGACTGTATGTACGGACACAGACGCTATGGTGGCTTGATGACTAATCGCTGCCGGAGCAGAACCAATCGCAGACACAACCGCGTAGCACTCGGCCTGGAAATGATTTCTTTACCTCTACAATGTTTTCCATCGATAAGCACCTCCCTCACTTCTCTGCACTGACATGGACTGCCATTTGGCGCTACACACTTGGCCGATGTGCTTTGATATGGAATTTCGCCTTGCGCATCTTAGTTGGAGAACATAAAGCACCGCCACTCGATGTTGAGGCCCAGCAGCAGCAATCCAAGGTCAGGGCCCTTTTTTTCTGGCGTAATCGCATGAGATTGACTTGCTAACACATACCGGCAGACAGCATGCATAGAACGTCCTCCATACCCACAGGAGCTTACTTATATCCCTATCCCGGGACCATGGCGACGCAAAGAGAAACCAAACTGGCCTGACTCGGTCTTCCAAATTCCCACCGAAGTGCCCGATGGCACCATATACTATGTCACAAAAGGGAGATGGATTGGCCAAGGGGGCACAGCACATATTGAACTCCTTCCATCGGGTGATATCGTCAAGTACCCCAAGTCAAACCCATACTGCCGAATAAACGAGCAAGAAAATCGCGATCGCATCATGTCCGAGGCCAAAGTCTACGAGCGGCTTCAAACTTCACTATACGTCCCTAAGCTTATAGACTGGGACCCGAGTTCGTGCTGTTTGACTTTAGAGTACTTGGAAAATGGAAGTCTCGACACGTACGTTGGCAAACGTGTTGAAAAAGCTACTTGCGGTAACGAAGTGATAAACCACATTCCTATCCAAGTTCGGCAACGGTGGGCGATTCAGGCAGCCAGGGCATTGGCAGATGTCCACGCAGCTCAAGTGATTCATTGCGATGTCACGCCACGCAATTTCTTGTTAAATGCAGACTTGGATCTTCGCATTTCCGACTTTGCTGGCTGCTCAATTGCTGGGTCTCCGCCCCTTGTCGCGCCCGGGCCAAGATATCTACCACCAGGTTGGAGTTGGAATCGAAAGGCAGTAGAAGCGGATGATATCTTCGCACTAGGCTCGGTCTTGTACTTTATTATTGTTGGTATAGAACCGTACGCAGACCTAGAGGAAGAAGAAGTGGAGGAGTTATTCCAGGGAGCAAAGTTCCCGCATGTGGACCAACTCTCATGTGGAGGGATTATTCAGGATTGCTGGCATGGTACCCTTTCCTCCACAAAGCTGGTAGTGGACGCCTTGAACAGCCTAGAGTGGGAGGTTAACACTTGAGCAAAAGAGCTAATTGTTTTGAACGAGTTTCCTCAAACTATGGATACGTCTGGTGTCTTGGATACATGATTTCCTTTGCAGTCGGGCATTTGTGTAAACCACGATCCCTATCTCTCGCTGCGTCATGAAGCTATTGCCCCGATGTACGTGGCCTCGTGGTGGTGCGGCATTCAACGAGTATTGCGATCGCAGTACCCCTCGTCCCTGTGTCTTGGACATAGACTTCTGCTCCTTGTTTGCCCAAGTTGTTCTTCCCTTGGATTGGGACAAGGAGTCAGGCTCCCTTCGAATTGCGGGCAGCCATCCGTCATGAGAGTTCTCGAAGTAGTGCTGCACGCCCACGGGCAGCCCGAGTAGCGCGTGGTGGAAATGAGCAATCGGCACATGTTTATGAATGGAAAGATGATATCTGGGTTGTTGTGATGCTTGGTTTATAGATGCAGAATTTTTCAAAGAAAATGCTGGAGTTGAAACACCAAGTCCCAATCCTTCGCGTCCAACTGCTTTTATACTTGACAGGACATCGACTTCTCAGTGCTTGCCCCGCGCAGCTGCCTGGATGATATCGGAAATATTGCATCAAAATCAAATGTGAAGTCTGGTTGGGCCAGACTCACCAGACCCACCCCACATTTGACGCAAGGTGCACGGGCGTGGGAGCCTACGAGGCGTGCAGCTGACAAGCTGGTGACCGCCAGTGGCATTAACTACTACATAAGTCCCTCTAGCTGCTTGTGATTCTCTACAAACAGTCCAGCAGCTCCCTGCTCTTTCGCTCTCTGGAAGGGTCCACTTCCTGGCAAACGGAGGAATAGGGCCACTGGCGGTCACCAGCTTGTCAGTACATGTATCAGAGTCGCCCCGATCGAGCTACCGGCAGAGCCAGACAACACAACGGTGGTTCGTTAAAGGATCCTCGCAAGTAGACGGTTGCAAATGACGTCACTCAGAGATGATGAGATGTCGACCTCTACAACCCTTCGATATCGGAACGCTCCCTCGAAACAAACGTCTGGAGTCTTTTTGTCCTTGGGGTTCGGTCCTGGTCGATTATCGCAGTTCGGCATTCACCGATTGACCATAAAAGTCCATAGCCCGAGTCGCCGAACAAGCAAATGTTGACAACAGCTCCAAAAGTGCGGGGATGGCCTAAACTATAAAGACATTATCTTTGCTTTTCCGGAACTCGTGGCAATTGGTTTTGCTTCTATTCTTGGTAGCAAGTTGGTGAATTTCGCAGTCTTGTCACGAAGATGTCTCAGTCGTCTCCGTCTCCACACGAGCTCACTCGGTTCGATCAACTCCGCCACCCGCATTGCACTCCCAACAGCTCACTACTCGTCCGCAGCCTCATCTCGGCACAAGGTGCTGGTCGTGGGTGCCGGCGCTGCAGGCCTGAGTGTCAGCCATCAGCTGCCACGGTCGGGCAGGTTCTCCAAAGACGATATTGCCGTTGTAGATCCTGCTGATTGGCATCATTATCAGCCCGGCTGGACGCTTGTTGGCGCCGGTCTCAAGGACAAAAATAAGCTCAAAATGCGGACCAAGGACCTTGTTGACGCCAAGCTCAAGTTCTGCAATAACAGCGTCGGCATCTTCACACCCCAGGATAATTCCGTCTACCGGAATCGTGAAATGCGCTGGCGCACCCCAGAAAGCCATGTGGCTTGCGCTGGACTACTGGAAGCGAGCCGGACTCTACCGACCTGGCTCTGAGAAGAATTCCAGCATCAAAGTCAGTTTTGCAACCGGTCTCCCCGTCATGTTTGGCGTCCCCAAATACAGTGCCACCCTGGATCAGTTGCGACGAGAGCGTGGCGTGGAGGGCTTATTCCAACGCGACTTGGTTTCCATTGACGGCAATCAAGCAACGTTTGTTCTTCCTGATGGCAAGCAAGTGACACGTCGATTCGACTTTCTCCATGTCGTACCCAAATTGGGGCCGCACGCCTTTGTTGCCAACAGCCCTCTTGCTGACGCAACAGGCTTTGTGGATGTGAATAGCAGCACTATGCGGCATCGAACATTCGGCAATGTCTGGTCCATTGGCGACGCGTCCAACCTCCCCACTTCCAAGACAGCCGCGGCTACTACTGCGCAAGCTCCCATTCTTGTTTCCAATTTACTCTGTGCGTTGGAGGGGGCCAAAATGAATGCTGTGTACGATTTCGTGCCCCCTCACAACCGAGTACGGCAAAGTTCTCCTCGCCGAGTTCAAGTATGGCGGAGAGCCAAAAGAAACCTTTGGAAAGCTGATCAATCAGGCTGTTCCCGGCCGAGGATTTTGTTATCTCAAGAAAAATTTCTTTCCCTGGGTGTACAAGAAGTTTATGGTCAAGGGAGCTTGGGGAGGTCCGAAGGGCTTCATCAGACAAAAATAGGGCTAGGGCGCTTCTGTGAACAGTATTAGGTGGCAGTGGAAAAGGGCAGGCATTATCCAAGATGTCTGGCACTGTGCGTATCTTCTGCGTAGGGTCACAATACGAAAGTCAAGGCTGGGGTAAAGCAGGAGAACTAGCTACGAGGTGGCTACTAGATTTAATCCGAAAGTCTACTTGGCAAGATCTCGATATTTTCTTCCTTCTATTCAAATTTCTCGCCGTTTGATGACAGTATATGGTAGCAATCACGTAATAATCTCTCTTGGGTTTCCAGGCTCGCAGGCTCACCGCTGCTTTGTATATATAAGGGTCATCTTGCCCCAGAGGCCTCAAGACAACCAATGACCTTTGATATTAAAGCGGATTATTAGCTCAACAAGAATATTGTCCAAGCCCTTAGGTATAAGGCCTTGTCAGAGTCCCAGAGGCCGGCGAAAGTAATTTGCGGAAACCGTCTGTACGACTACCACAGCCTCATCACAATCTTTGCCGGATCTGAATTTGGTATCTATTTTGCTGAGTTTGCGGCTCCTAGTGCCCGCTACAAAGACATCTCAACGAAGATGTCTCCCGTGTCCTTGGGCATGGAGTCTTTTTTGAGTACTCCATGATGTATGGGGCCGGCAATTCCTGAGCATCGGGTATCAAGTACGAATATAGCATCATAGCTTCGCTGCTAGTCGTATATGATGCGACCTTACAATGATGTCTGACCGGCCTTGGTATATACTGAGCAAACCCTCATGGAGGACGCCCTCGGAGCTTTTGACCCTTATGGTTGCCTCGAGCCTTGGGACTGTGCCGGTTGTAAAGCTTTTGCTTATAACGGGTGATATTGAAGTAGTTTTAATGGATGGAACCCGTAACCGCTTGGCGCTTTCATGGCTTTAGACCGGGATTGAATAATATTGCGAGGCTGCTAATTAAAAGTCTGAGTCTCCGGTCTCGGCAGATGGCCGAACTGCCTATCATTTTTGACGGGTGTAGGAAGTTACCAAGTTACCCCTGTGAGAGATATAGTCGAACACCCCTCTATCATATGCCGCCGCGAATGGCCACGTTTCTGTCGTCAATCGACCAGCAAAGGTCAAGAGCGCGCGTTGGATCTGAAGACAAAGTTGGAGGGACAACTATCTTATACCCTTTGTACCGGACAAGCGGCTGTGGCCAAGGGATGCATGAAGGAGGTCCTGGTCACCTGGTAGAGGAAATCAGGCAGGACCCAGACCCATTCTTGCCCGCAGTCCGGAAGGGCCACGAGCCAGTCGTCAAAGTTCTTCTCGAAAAGGTCCCCGACATCGATTCGAATAACGCCGTGTTCTTGACGGGATTTTACGGGTTGCCTGGGGAGGTCATCGGAGGAACCTGACGCTACTGGGTGAGAATGGCGCGACGTTCGGGACCGTCTGGAAGATGTGTTAGGTTAGCAAATACCATGAGATCATTAGAGAAGAGTGAAGAGTCTGAAACAGATGCAATGGGATGTTGGGGACACAATTACCGTCGGACTAGGATGAAGACATGGTGACAATAGATCCAACTGCAGATATTCAGGACACCCGCGGAGATGCACACTCGGCACCAACTTCTCCGTCACCGGGCTTACGCAATCACAGGGATTGGCGGTAGAGAAAGTGGTCTTGAACGTGGAACGAAAGGATCATATGCTGGGGTTATTATACAATGTTATATCCCAAGTCAGTAAACTCTATTCTCGTATATGGTGGGGTGGCTCGATTTTAATTTCGCGTGCCTGCAAGCGACCATTGCCAAGCGGCCCCTTTCTAGTAGAAGAAGGACTACTGACTCCACATGAAGTCGACGCAAACGTCTACAATGCTGTCGGAGCCGAAGGAGCACACTTGGAGCTTGGAATGGGATATTCCGCCAAGGGCCGCTGTTGCTGCGTCTGATTTCTCCATGACTCCAACGGTCAAACCCGGTGGCCGCCGTGACAAATGCCATCTCCTGCGGCTGTTATATAACGGATTAATAATAGCTTAAACGACAACGTCAGCGCGAACAAACTGCGGCCGACATGGCGAAATATCTTGGCACCGGTCCTGAGCTTGCTTCACACAGAAAATTTCCAAAATGGATTTAGTGTAGTTGTGGAATACTTTATATTCTATACAGGTATTCCATATGCATACAGATGGAAAGCTGGTGCATCCTCAATACAATAGCTGTACTAATGTGATGTAAAATATATGCACCCTGGATTGAAAGGCCAGCAGACTGTACAAGCGCGTTGGTCACCTTGAACTCGTACATTGTCATGAAACCAACTGGACTAGGCAAAAGGGAAATGCCGCACTTCCTCGAGTGCTTGCCTTTATTGGCTCCTAAAATCTCTGTCTTGTGTAAAACCTATCTCTTTTACCGTTGACATACATAAATGGAACTTTTAAACTGCGTCGGAGTATGCGGCATTTTTTATACACTGTTACAGTAGGTGAATGCCTATATAGACTTTTGAGACTACAGAAGCCTACATCGTGAGTGATTTAGTGTTTCTGCTTGTAAGCGTAACCTATACCAAGATTTTAAAATCTTGTCTAGAGTACAGAGGTATTAACCCTATAAATTACGGGTATTATATGTAAAATACATACTTCATTATTCGGGTTTTAAACTGTCATTATGTCAGACTTCAGGTAGCCACCTCGCTTGCATGGCCAGCTCGTTTATGGAGTCTGGTGCCCTATTGGAAATAATCTTAGTTATATTACACTAATAATAAGCCTATTTGCGCTTCCAGCTATAGGCAATAAGTATTTGCCCACCCCCACGTCGCTCCACGCCACCAATTAGGCGAATAGTTGAGGCCTCCTCCCACTGTAGCATTGCCAAGACAGCGGCTATACATACCTCACGCGCGGGCTGGGGGTAAGCCATAAATTTGCTCCCATGGGAGTCAATTCGTTTAAATCACAGGTTGAACTATAGCGCAGGGGCAACTGGTTACTGGATATCGCGGAAAGGATTCACGAGCGACATTTGTACCGGCCAAGACCTACATACAGGAGGGGCAGCATTAGCGATATCGGATAACCATTGCGTGATGATGATATAATTTTGTTTGCTGAGGCTAAACATCGATTGCTTTGTACGGACGTTGAACTTGACTATAAATACGGTTGTGTGCCAGTAGGCTTTTGCTAGACAGGCCTATCCTCTCGAGTCTGGCTTCCATCGGACAATTCTCTGGCTTTGCATCCTCCTTCGAGGCTTCTCTAGCATCATGAGTTTCCGAACTGCCGCTTTTCTCATCAGCCTCCTCGGCCTTCATGCCGGGCTGTCGGCTGCCGCTGGTGGCGCGGAGGGCGATGCAGGCCGCATGACGATCGGCTTTAGGTCCGTGGGCCAGGTAGGTCGACTTCAAGTACAGGTTTCACTCATCGGTCTGTTAGCTAACAAGAATTAGGAAGAGAAAGACCTCCTCACCAAGGCGGGCTCTCTCATCCAGAGCCGTAACACAGCTGCCACCCACCTTGGACAGGGAGTCTACATAGGCAATAGCCCAATAAAACGTGACGACGAAAGGTTTGTCGGCCCCCGTCTCTCCCGCTTGCCGTTGCACTATCACTCACGTCGGATCTAGTCTCTTTATCGTCACCGCTGACGAAGCCGCTTTCAAAGCCACGTCCAAGGTCTGGGTACCCAAGGAATACTGGACTCTGCCAGTAAAGGAAAATGACATTCTAGGGGAGAGAGAGGCTGCAATCTCCAGGGATCAGCTAGAGCACTATATTGAGGATCAAGGGCTTCACTCGACTCGTACCATAAGGCTGTCTAAGATAGAAGGGGCTGTGTCGGATGACATCCTGCAGTTGCTTATTCCCAACGAGATGATTTCTCACGACCAAGACGGAGTTCCCATCGAAACAGACGGCAAGCTAGATACCAAGGTTGAAGAACTGACCGGCTCTATGGCTTGGAACGTCGATTATGATGAATGGGAGGGAATACAAGGCAGTAAGGAGTATACGGAAGACACACTCCGCGCAAGGATCGCCTCCCTACTCGAAAAGGCAACCAAAGCCGTCACCGAGGCTGAAAAGCTCCTCGAATCGGATTCTCCCGCTGCGGCGGAGGCAATATCAGAGGCTGTCGCCACTGCAAAGAGATGCGCCGAAGGGGTTGGCCACTTTCACAGACATCGCCCCGACTGGGTTGACTTTGACGAGTTCAACACGGTGTATAAGCAATATTCTAATGCCCGCAAAGCCGAGGCCAAACTCCGCAAGTTGAAGCTAACCAAGGCTGTGGAGGCGCAAAAGAGCAGACTAACCCAGGCGGCGGAAAAGGTAAACGACGACGCAACGCGGGCTTCTGGGATTGCCGAGGCCGAGCAGGCCGCCGACGAGAGCAACAAACTGCTCAAAACGGCCGCGGAAGAGGTCGGGGGAGCTAAAATAGCCCATGAAAAGCTCGAATCCGTCCGGAAACAGCTGAATGGCGGAGATCAAAAGGAATTCATAGAGCTCCTGGCAAAGAACCCCCGAGCTGTATGGGCCACACTCCAGGAGTCCTTCACGAGCATGAACGGAAAAGAGGCAGCATCACTTGATGCCGCTATAATAGATGAGGCAGACATCACCCAAGCAGAATACTCCATCTTTCAGGAGGGCGTCGACGAGGCCAAGGCCATGGCTGCCGAGATTGGGGAGAGTGTGAGAGCACTCCAACTAGTCGTTGGAAATCCCAAAATCCTCTGCCGGCGGGGCGACGTGAACTGCGTCCACGTCTCATCAGAGGAGAATGGCCCGACAGCTGAGAAGCCCGTCAAGGCTGAGCCGGCCGACGAGGGCGAGCTAATTGCGATAGCCCAGCAGAGATCCAAAGAGAGCTTCGACAATCTCCTGACGGATTTCAACTATAAAAGCGTGGTAAAGCATGACCAGCTATATAAGGAGCTGAATGATCGACTACCAGAGTTTAATACCGTGTCCCGGACTGAGAGAATCGCTGGCTTATCCGCCAAGCTTGGAGAGGGTGCGCTGGCTGTTGCCGGACTCGCACTCTACGGCAAAGCCGTGGCGGATGTGTTCTCAAGCGACGCCAGCGTCTTGGACAAGGCCGCGGTAGTGACGTCCATTTTGCCCGGCGTCGGCTGCGCCGTACAGCTTGCCGATAGTGTGGAACACGGAAACGTTGACGTCGGCCATACCGCCTTGTGCTTTACCGAAGATGCCCTGCTGGTTTCTGGGTTCTGGGAAATCGCGCTGGTAATGCAGCTAACAGAGTCGCTTGTCAACTGGATAGAGGCGGGAAACGAACAAGACAAGCTGTTCAATACGGAAGTGCTTAGGAGCAAGGGGCTGGCCGGCTGGGAGGCAAACTTTGACAGGATGCTCCAGTACATTGGATCGGATGAGTTTGCTGCAAACACTACGACTCGATTCTCGTCATACCAGATCCTCGTTTTATACCAGGCGTCGCAGCTGACGGGCGACTTGCACGCTTCCCATAAAGCCATCTCAGGGAAATCCAGTAACGAGACCGACGAGATAGTGCCGCACATTGAGCCCGAACTTCGACGCCAAGTCTGCGCGGCCATGGCGCAAAGCAAGTATCAGCTCCGGCAGAATCTCGAGGCCGTAGCACTGCATCATGCGGCGAAATTCTCAGAGGAGTATAAAGACAAATTTCTGAAGGACTACCGCGAAGCTGCCACCAAGGCTATTCCCTTTCTTGGCATACCAATCTCCTTTGGGAGCGGAAATCTCGACGAGGTTCTCGAGGACGTCAGAAGATATCCTCTGCCTTTGCACGAAGAAAGGATTAAGAAAGCTATTAAAGAGGTGGTTGAGCGGCTGGACACTCCGGCACCCTGCAAGTGTCTGCAGGGCAGCAAACAGCGCCCCTGCGAGTTCGCAGACTGCAACACCCCAAAACCCCCTCGAGGAAGATTGGATGCGGCAGGGAGAACTTACGTGACTAACGTGCAGTCTATTGAGCATGGCAAGAGGATAGGCCTATGGGACGATTGCTTGGCCCTCTTCACAACATGCCCCTATCCTGGCTCGACAGGCGAGATTGGTAGACAAATATGGTGTACGCCCAGGTCTTGACGAGGAACTTGACGGTGAAAATAGCTTCAGAGGAGAGTTTACTGTGGGAATTCTCTTTTCCTTGTGAACACTTGTTCTATTCAAGTTGCAATCTACCTTGTTTGTGCCCCTGTGCAGGCATTACAATGGTTGAGTCGGGAAGTTGATAACGCAATGACTGGCTAGGCAGCATGGGATATAACAATAAATGCACGGTGGAGACGCAACTAGGATAATTATATAATTAAGTCTTCGTGTTACTTTCAACAGTTGTCGCACGTTATGAGCCTGTCCTTGCCCAAGCTGCGAAGATGTAGACTCGGGAAACACCGCCGAAGATGTGGTGCCACAAACTTACTCGGTCCTCCATACGCGACCGGCCTTGTCGACCTGCCAGCGGGTAGATGTACCGAGCCCGCAATCTGCGTTGCATTAGATCGCAGGAACGCCGGCTTCGCATGGTCCGCAAGAACTGCAACTTGAGCCAGATGTGCGGGGCATAATATTGCTAGCATTAGCAGGACTTTGTTACAGTTGAATTAGTCAATGTGCTTTTATAGACTATTTTTCCGTCGACGACTGGTCAGGGAGATCAGCTTGGCGGGACAACTCTGGGCAGGGCGCTGCTTACAAGTGTGAGAGCTGCGGGAACATAGCCAACGTAGATTCATGCTAGTACTTCAAAAGGACGTTTGAATGGGGGTGGAGTTTAGCAGTGCATTAGGATGGTGCTTATGGGGTCTGATCCCATAGGATGAGAGGATCGATCCCTAGGCTAACTATTGCCCCTTATGGATGATCTAGATCGCCTCTTGGAGACTTGAGTTGCTAAAGGGTCTCTGTGATAGTGTTGTTCTTGGCTACCATTCCTGCAATGTAACCTTGACGCACAAACAAAGAGAGTATCCGCAATGTATTATCTCACACGTGCCAGCACCAGATGAGAAGCCAGACTTTAGTTTTATTGATCATGTTGACGCTATAACCAGAATTATAACCAATAGTTGCCTAGAACTTTACCAAATGATACCCAACAGTCAGTTTTGTTCATTCTGGCGTAGCTGAAACGAAAAGCGAGACAAACTGCATAAAGGGCGCGTCCACGGGCGTATTAGAAGACATTCTTCAAAGCAGGCCGGTCCCCAACCCTCTCTTTCCAGGCCTTAATGTTGGAAAACTTGTCCAAATCCACCTTCAGCATGGCCAACCAGTGCATAAACGACCATATGTGCGTGTCAGCGAGGCAGTAGGTATCACCGAGGAGATAGTCCTTGCCCTTGAGCGCAGCATCTAGTATGCCCAGAGCATTGTCTACGCCCTTCTTGCCAGCTTCTCCATTAATCTTCCTAGCCTCAGCCTGAGCCTCAGTCTCTTCACCCTGCTTTTCGGAGTGGAGGAAAGAACCAAGTTTGGAAGCGTGTGCGGCGAGGTTGACGTTCGACCATACGATCCATTTCATGGCCTCGCCACGCTTCACGCCGAGAGCCGGGTACAGCGACTTGTCGACGCCAAATGTTTCTCCTAGATACATGGTGATTGCGGCAGACTCCCAGATTGAAACCCCATCGTGGACTATGGCGGGGACGAGCCCGTTGGGGTTCACGTCTGACAAGTATTCAGGCGTGCGAGTCTCGCCTTTCTTGAATGAGAGCTCGATGCGCTCTGCTAGAGGTTCGGAAAGGCCATGTTCAAGCTCGGCCAAGACTGCAATAGTTACACCGGCTGTGGAGAAGGGAGCAAAGTAAAACTTGAGAACCATGGCGACTGCGATGGATTTGGCGTGCGACTGGTTGGTTAATACGTTGAGCAGAATCTCTTGGACTTGTGAGGAGAGAGTGGTAAGTCGAGGGGTGATAATCCGGGGAACAACAAGGTAGCAAGGACTCTAGTCGCTGGCTATTTATGTCCAGGCTTTTGGGGGGGCTATCCGCGTTATGCTGCTCAGCTCCGAGCATAGCCCCCGCAGCTGAGAGGCATTCACGCAAATTCACGGTGGCGTGAACGTCAGTAGCAAAGGGCTATGGGCACATACTGAAAGTCGGTTATTTTTCAGTATGAAATTCACACGTGGCGTTGCACGCTCTGCCATTGCTTAACGAATAATGTCACGCGATGGCAGCCACCTGGGCTAGATCATGCGAGGAGTTTTGTATTTGATCCAAACAAATCCTTTATGAAGCTACGAAAGAAAGAATCGGGACGCTCGGCTCCACACAACACTGGAATAATCCATACAGCTAGTACCCTGTTATCCCGCACGACAAATGAGTTTGTGGTCTCGCTCTGAAAAATGCGCCACTGGTAGCGCCATCTCAGTTCTTCAGAAAGAAACCACATGCCGTTGCGAATTAACATTGAAGCTTTATATTGAATGGAAGTTGCTGTTGAAATTCAAGTTCGCTTCAACCAGGCACCTAGCGGCAGACATTCAACCCGTGTGGCCATCGTCCAGCTGCCTGATTTCAACGTCTCTCACAGCTTTCCTATATTCAAACATATATCTCATCTATTTTTTGCATGGCGTTCCACCATTCGCAGCTGACATGAAGAATAACCAGACGGTTCTTTTGCGGTCGTCCGACAAAGTCTACACACGCTCAAACCAAATTGGAGAGCTAGACAGGAGGAATGCAGGGCCGTTCATTTATGCAACTTGACTCTGTCCTAACGCGCACGGCAGTAAAGAGCCCCGCGGACACTTTCTTAGACACACGGAGAAGAAACGCATGCGGCTATCGATAAGCTGTTGAAAGCGTGAGCCTGGCAGAATCAAGCCCCCATTCCGACGGGCCGATGGCCGGACCCGTGAGAGTGGAGACCGGGCCGAGCGGCCCCGTCACACCGCTCCGAATACCGTCCTTGATAGCTACTTGCTGGAGCCGCAGTTGCCGACCAACCACCGGAAAAAAGGTCGAATTCCATAATAAATCTGTCTTGAAAATCTCGTTTTTGTAGGGCGATCACAACTCAAATAAATTCAGATGCCTATGACCTTGTATAAGATGCAGATCTAACCCCGAAAGCCGTGGTGGTGCCCGGGCCCCAACAATTCTCATTTTGCCATTCCACTTGTTGTGGGCGAGGACGTGCCAAAATTTATCCTCCCACTGCCATCGTCCTGAAGACAGGCGCTGGAAAGTCTGCTAGAAGTTGGGCAAGAGAAAATAGCGTCCCTGCGCGTGTAATAGTGCCACACTGATCGTAAGGTCATGTACCTATATAGCCGTTTCAGATACGACAAGCGTAGCATCAAGTTTTGTTCGTAATAGATCGATTATACCTTTGCATCTCCACTTAATAGTTCAGGATCGCGGCGTCTGACCGTCAAAATCTTTCACGTCATTGTAGCGCCTTTCTCAAGCAGCAGCTTAACCACGGCCGCGCGTCCTCCCCGAGTAGCCTCTAATAGCGGCGTCTTGTTATAATAATTTTTCGCCTCGATATTAGCGCCCTTCTCAAGTAGTAGCTTAACCACCGCCTCGTGTCCTTTCTCAGCGGCCCGCGATAGCGGCGTCTTGCTATTATAATCTTTCGCCTCGATATCAGCGCCCTTGTCTAGTAGTAGTTTAACCACGGCCGCGTGTCCTTCCTCAGCAGCCTGTAATAGCGGCGTCTCGCTGTAATAATTCTTCATCTCGATATTAGCGCCCTTTTCGAGCAGCAGTGCGGCCATGGCCTCGTGTCCGCTCTGAGCAGCCCATAATAGCGGCGTGCCGCTGCTTCCAGGTATCGCCTCGATATTCGCGCCTCTCTCGAGCAGAAGCGAGACGACGGCCTCGCGCCCTTCGTTGGCGGCCCACCATAGCGCCGTCCAGCCGTCATATTTCGCCTCGATATCGGCACCGTTCTTGAGCAGCATTAGAACCACAGCCGCGTGGCCGTGCTCTGCTGCAAGCATCAATGCTGTCCGTCCGTCTTTATCCTTGACGTCGACCTTGGTGTCTGCTCGTGTAAGCAGCAGCCATACCTTCTCCTCAAGTCCTGCTCTTGCTGCATCGTGTAGGGCTGTCGGTTCTCCAAAACTCATCAATTTTGAGAGCGTTTGATCGTCGTAGATGCCATATTCTGCTTTTCTATCGCTTTTTCCGACGCTTTTGGATTTCCGTAGAGGCAACATATGCCCCCTTTGGATGCATAGCCGCTTCGTTGAAATCTGTGAGGGTCTAAATTTCCTCATGTCAAGCGGCTCGAGCTTTTCACTGTAGAGCCGTTCAAATCGCTCCATTGTCAAGGATATGTCTCTCACGTAGATGGAAATTGGCTTATCTTTGCCATTTTCTTCCGCACAATTCAGAATTGCCAGGCCTGGTCCTCGAGGTCCTATGCCTACAAAGCGTAGCTCTACATGAACCCCTAGACTACTCACAGTTGAGGGAGAATTAGAGGTGCCTAGTGTAACAATGTTCCTGGAATTCTCGAACGCAGCTGGAGAGACGGCCAGAAGTCCACCGGAAGTGTCACCATGTGTGGTCCGTATGATTTCTTCCTGGAGCCTGGCAAAAGCTCGTTGTCCTTCTCCGTAAAGTAATGGCATATTAATGCGAAATATTCCCATTAAGCAATAGGCAGTATCTTCGACCCTCGTTGTCTTCCTCTCCGCAGCCCATGACATTCTCTGGGCAATACTAGCTGTTTCAAGCTCGTCATCACCGGAAAGAATGCCGAACGGTATACCTGTGCGATGGGATATCTCCTGTTTTCGTGTTTCCTTGGTCCCTAGGTCGTCCCAGTTCTTGCTAAAGAAATAGACTTCAGCTGGTGCGAGCAGCTCTTGCAAGGTCCATCCTCTTTGAAACCACTCGCTTTCGCAGATCTCATCTACCGACCGGACATCAGCAAGATATGCATAGCACCTATCTGCTCTATAGTACCAAACGTACATAGAGTTGATTGCCTCCGACAGCTCGGCGCTGCTTGTCTTGTCAATGCAGCACGTGTCGATCCAAGCATACTCGAAACCGTCGGATTGTGCACGGAAGGCGAATCGCCGCACCTTGTCGTATCCCCCTTTCTTTACACCCTGTTTTATTAGCTCTCCGTTTTCCACATCCTGAAGGGAGAGTTCGCCTTCGCCCCATCTATGTGACAGAATGGCGTACTGAGGTATTCGGCCCTCCGCGAATTCTTCCAAATTAAGGGTGCTGGTGTTTAGCAGACGCATAGTTTAGGACAACCAAGGTTGGCCTGATTACTTCAGGAGGCAGTGTCATGAAAAAATGAAAGGCAAAATTGCAATATATAGATATCTTGGTCGACTAGAAGAATCTCTCTCGATTTCTTCACCGCCCCCTCCATACAAGCAGCAAGTCACGAGGACTTGGGCCCCAAGTGGTCAGCGGGATGTGCTCGCCTCGAGGCAGTGCCACTTCCACTGGCTGCATGTCGACGTTGCGTGACAGCCTCGCTTCGATGTTCTCAGCCAACCAGGAGCGAGTTTAAAGCATCATGCAGCCAGCCATGTGGATTCCAAGGAGTCATGACGAGAGCTGACATCTATGTCGCGTCGAGCACACTGGCGAACGATTACATAGCCTAATTCGAGCCGCTGGACTTAGAGTTGATGGTCGTGACTTGTGACAACAACCGTGGCTGTGCCTTTGGCCATGATGGCGTAAAGCTCGAGAGCGCGTCTGCCGCAAACGAGGATGCGAAGCCCCATCACTACATCCAAACAACACGGTTGTAAGCTTGAAGCGTTTGTATTGAAGAGCACGGCTGGATTTTCCGCTGCAAGTCGTTCAGAGAAGGTGTCAAAAGAAACAAAAGAGTATTAACTTTGCCTGCTAGTTTTGACTCAGGGTAAGGGTTAGGGCTATGATGGATGTATGTCCGCAAGGACAAACTAGTAAAGACTACTGAATCGGGCTCAGACATTGTTGGAACCATGTTGGACCTACCTTGCAGTGGCAGCCAGCACAACCAACGCTGAATTCCACGTTGTGAGCGTACACAAACACCTACAGAGGCGCGCGAACATGCCACAGATTGACACACTGTATACATAGATAGGAGTCCCGACTACCAAGTGCCTATTTACGTGAGTAGGGATGATTCAAGCCCTCGCAGAATAAAGAGCACCCTCTATTTTCCGAGATAAACTTGCCATAACCTAGCTTGCAATCAATATCGATAACATAACAAACCCCCTTCCGTATCCATAACCTGCGAAACCAATATATCGTTAACGAGCCCACCGTACGGGAGCATTCTTTCGATTGTAGCATCCTTCTCTGTCGAGTTTGCTATATGATCGCCCCCATACTCGTATAGTCTCGTTTCTCTGCGCTCCTGCTGCCACTGCCACCACAGAGAATCCAGCTGCGCATGATGCAGGAAGAAAATGGGATCTGCTCAACGGACAATACGGCAGGCGGCATTAGAAACCATGGCACAAAATAACGAGCAAGGGGTACAAGAAAATACACAACTCACCATTCGGCGCCGTCAGGACTGCAAAGTCCCCGGCAATATACTAGTGTATTGCATTGTGTAAATGCCGCTCAACATGGCCGAGAAATTCGGTATAATTTGAGCTGCGTCTAACTCGGTCTATCCACTCGGGGCTAAACAAGTTACTTTGTAGGCTTGCCGCCGTCTCTACGTGGCGGAAGCCTCGCGAAATAGCATACAGAATATAGCTCTGGCTGTACCAAATCGGCCGAAGCTGCGCAAAGGACCCATCTGTCGCCCAGCGATAGAATCAGGTGTTTTCTCAGCTTCTGGTTCGCCGTCGCCGCCAAACCCAGTCTTGCTGTGCCAGATGGACGACTTTGCAAGGTCCATCCAATTTAAAGACCGATCCCAACACCTGTGTGTCGAAACGAGGCCAGGTAAGTCGACACTCGTGTAGGTCAAGAGATATACTCTAAGATGGCAAGGGAAAACGGAATTTGGGCCTTAGAACCATATTCTTCTCAGAGCGATGCTTCCCTAGATGGAAAGCGTGTGTCGATGCCAGGGCAAAAAGGCGGCGGACCGGTGACCTGCCATTACAGAAAGAGAGAGCTAATCAGTTGCAAGTGGAAATAAGGCCGAGTTTGGGATTCCAGAGAAATCTTGGACGATGCCAAGGGCACAAACTGAGTTGACCAATTCTTGCATGCAAGGCGGTAAAGTCATTATATAGCGTTCCAGTCTGCATCCATCGCGGAGGTACGTTTGCAAAGGCACTTGTCTGCGGCCACAAAGTTTGTCCCTTGCATGTCTGCGAGAGAGTTCCATTCTTGCCGTATAGGCGGACTGTCGCATCGGTTGTGTTGGGAACCCTTGTTTTGTAACTAAGTGCCAACGCTGCTCCAAACGTGACAAGTGGTACTAGTTGATATGGCGAGGAAAATGCTGATTCCTGAAATAAATTTCTCGGCTAAATGGCGAGGCTGGCTGTTCAGTCTCAAGCTTGTTAGTGAGAGTCTCAATAAATGTAACTAATTCGTCCTGTTGTATTCTTTGAGAGGTGTATTTGAGTCGTACCGACCACAACCCCCACACTGTACACTGTGAACTGAATCAGATTGTAACTTAGCTGATCTTCCGGGTTGAATTATTGACGCCTTTGCTGTTTCTTGCAACATCACTACAATCTGTACAGCGAAGCCTAGGGCTACGTCAATATGACTGGACCAAGGTTGGCGAAGACGAGACGGGTCGGTAACTCGGGAGGCATGCAGAGGAGTGCAGCTCGGCAATAATCCCAATCCTACTTTTGGAATTGTAAAAATCCCATACAAGATTACGTTATTCCAAAACAGGCACGAGCCCTCCGCCGCGCCCGTGCCTTGTCTAGTGCGGTCTGATTTGACAATTTCGGCGCAGATAGATTCATCTGGAATTGATCGGCCTGCAGAAGGCATAAATTTTCAAGTGTGTCTATTTGTTTCATGTCTTTCTATTGCCACCCTTGGCTGGCGTTTTCGTACATGTCCTCTTCGTTGCCCAACTCGAATATTGCACGATTGCATTCTCCTCATCTCGCTCGGTCGGCAACATCGCCAATATGGCTTTTCCAAAATGGCCGTTAGGGGAGGCTATGATGTACAGCAGAATCAGCGAATATGAACCATGCATGGTGTCTGCATCGGACACGTCTACAGTCACTCCAGCCACACAGCGTCTAAGTTGGAAGCTTTGGTCACTTGTCGTTATACAATCCACCATTTTCCTTGACTTGGGTGCATCTCTGCATGCGGCTGTGTCAGGGAAGCCTTCTGATCTCGCCTGTGCGAGACAATTATCACCATACTGTGAGCAAACACCTCCAGTTCTTGGTTGGTTTGTTGCGTTTTTTCGCCATTGCTGATGCTGCTTCGCCAATTCCAAGCCCCATTCTTGGAGACAGGCATAGTCGAGTACAAAGAGTTCACAGAAGTTTTTACACCTATCGTCCCCATATATGGGATTACCGTTACTAGAGCTAGAGGAACGATGGGACAAACTATGGCGCCGTGCGTTGTCCAAGTACTCCCACCCATGCAGATTGAGTCTCCATCTCCGAAACATCGATTCAGGATTTTACTCACCATCACATCAGTCCCGACTATACGCTTCCCAGAAGATCACATGGCGGCATTGAGCAAGACACCACCCGAGAGATTTACTCACGTCGCGCCTCAATATGGAGAGGGCGTCTCGGGTGCTCTCAACGTGTTCCACCAGCTACACTGTCTTGTAAGCTCATGTCTGGCCGTCAATCAACCACTCCAGCAGTGGCTAACAAGATTACACACAGAACCTTGTGCGACAATCCACGTAAAGACATGAATATGACTATAGCCATACGAGGGGTTTCAACCACTCGGAACCGTTCCCACGCCAGCACGCGGACCACTGCATCAAAATTTTGCGCAAGTCGCTCATGTGCGCCGCTGACGTTACCCCTATGGTGTATCTGCCTGATGAGAAAATCAAATCCGCTTACAAGGCGGACTTCAACATGCGAAGAAAGTGCAAGAATTTTGACAGGATTCAGCAGTGGGCTCGCGATCACGCCGCAGCTGCCTGAGCAGCGTGTGTAGTTTAAGATGGAACATCCAGGCACTTTGCGGCTCCTTGAGAAGTCTCAGCCTTGTTTTACTATGGGAAACATTAAGGGGTGGTGAAACAATACGGACAAACAATAGCTTGTACAATCCATTTAGTAAACTCAAGATCGACCAACCCCGGTCCTGGTTACCAACCCCGAAAATCAGATAGCATGCTTGTTCGAATTCCTTATTACTAAGTTTAAAAAAAAATTTAGACCTAGCTAAATGACTGTGCAAGCAGCACATCAGGTAAGGCCCAGTGACAGTAACACAATATGGCTGGCCGTACCCAAGACGGAGAACCGCAACAAATCACGTAATACACTACAATCGGCTCCTTTTATGACTACAATGGGGCCATTCATCGTGCTAGGGCCTCTGTAGATAAAGCAACGGCTCAGTTTTTCTAGCGTACCAGGCATGTCACTTTCAATGAGTCAAGTACTAGTCCACTTGGCCGGCCCAACTGGATGATTGTTGTTGGTCGTGGATTGGAGTCCAGGGGCCGCATTGACAGTTGGTGTCGACCTGAGCGAGCTCATGTTTCGACGCAGATACCGTTCACATCGCGACGGTTGGCCTTACGAGGGCCTACCTCTAGTTTGGCATGCCTGTTTCCCAACGAGGCAAATAGGTCGAACAAAAGTCCAAACTCTACATTTCAAGTGCGAGTCATTTTAGACTCTCTTGGTGACGCAGAGGAAGCTCAATAAGATAGTAACCGCTACCAATCCTTTGCATTGCCTTGGCATCAGTTACTGAAGAGCATGCCACCTCCGGTCCCGTGCAGGAGCTGTTGCGCCAAGTGGAAGGATACTAGGCGCAGGCGGACAGGTTGGTGTCGGAGTCTGGCTCGCCCACATTCAACCGTGATTGGCAGGATGTGTTCAAAGGCCGCATCAGAGTTCGGCTTTTTCTTGCTCCTAGTTGGCCCCCCATCTGTTACTTTGCTTTCATCGGTCATTTGATCCTCTTCTATCGGGAGCCCGAGCATTGAGGGACTGGACTGTTTTGTAGAGTTGTCAAGCTCGGGGATCATGGATTTGGAGATAGTAGACCTTGTATCCTTAGAGTCATCATTGGAGTTTCCCTCGCCAAACCGTCGTGAAAACTCCGAGACGTCTCTAAGCGTCTTCTTAGAAACGCTGGGTCTGATTTTCTTGAGCGACTTTGCAAAGTGCGACACTTTGAGCCGTAACTTGCTCATCTTTGCGCCGTTTGGCATCTGCTTCGCTTGTTCTGTAGCCCAGATTAACGCAGCTTCCGCGCAAAGACTACGCAAGTCCGAACCAGAGTACCCGTCGGTCTGCCTAGCCAGAGCATTAATGTCTACCAATGGATCCAGGTCCTCGTCCTTCAGAAATAGCCGAAGAACCTTGGATCGCTACTCCTCTCCGGGAAGCCCGAAGAAGATCTTCTGAGGCAGCCGGCGATAAAATGCTTCGTCTAGACCATGAGGACGATTTGTCGCAACTACCACAAAAGGAGCCGTGTCGCTCTTGGAGAGAGTCCGTCCATCTCTATGAGAAACTGAGTAAGGGCACTTCGGTACCAGCTCTTGTCCCTGGAAGAGCGACGGTAGAACAGTGAGTCCGCTTCGCCAATAAACAGCACGCAAGGGAACATTGCTTTGGAGAGTTTGAATGCTGCTTTACTAAGTCTCTCTTTTTCACTGACGTATTTGGATTGCACTGTTGCTGAGTCAATGGCAAGCATGCTTGCGCCGGAAGCCTTGGCAATAGCTCTGCAGAGATGCGTTTTGCCGGTTCCCGGAGGGCCGCAGAATAATGCTCCGCCGATACGAATATTCTTGAGAAGGGAGGTAGATGCGGCTTCTGGCTGGAAATTCGATAGCGAAACCAAGTGACGGACAGTCTCCTTTGCCTCCTCATCTACAATAACGTCGTCGTATGTGCAATCGATATCATCTAGAAGCATGCTCAGTACGGAGGGTCACAAGAGGCAAATTTAGGTAGAAATACCTGGGTTGATGATGCAGCTGATGAGTGACTTCTCCAATAGATCCGCGGCGCTCTTAACTCTACGCAGCTTATGGATCCAACCCAGCTTCTATCTTTGACGTGATTCCGTCCGTGTCCGATGTGATTTTGTCAGTAGTGCTCATCTCCCCAGAATCCTCCGGGGCTCCCTCATTTGACTCTTCTGTTGCTTTTGATTCTTGTGTTTCGCTTGACTCTTCTCTCTCATCTGGTTCTTCTGTCTTGCGGACTGTTTTCAAGAGGCCCAGACGCAACAGAACAATCCGAACGTCCTTAAGATCAATATGCGACGTTCCAAAGGCACGACCTGTTATCTGGGTCATGGCTCGTTGGAAGTCTCTTTCGGCCCATTGTGATGCTTCCACGAATTCATACTTTTCATCGTCGTCCAGATCCCTGGCTGAGTAGGGCTGGAACGTTTTAAGAACTTCAGGGACAAACAAGTGAGGAATGTGCCATCGCTGTAAGCGTCTCAGTCGCGTATTTATTATGCTCGTACAGTAGCTCCCGGTAAAAACTACCTTCACTTATAAGCAGAAAGTAGTCAGTGAAGATCGATGCGCTGTCCGCTGATAGCTTTCTGCCGACTTCAGGAAGTGAATCGTTCCCGGAGAAGGAAACTAGGAGGACAACTCCATGCCCAGAAAGCCGCTTATTTTGAATGCAATCACGAAATCTTTCTAGGATATTAGGCTCTTTTTTTTATTATTTCAGACGCATCTCGAAGATAGAGAAGAAGAGGAGGGGGCTCTTTCACGAGTGACTCAGGGCTGATGACAGCTGCGGCTTCTGGGCCGTTCTCTCTTACTATGTTTGATCGAGTTTTGGAAATCTGGGTGTCTAGGATCGCCGCGATGGCTTTTTCACTTCGATTCCAGGCATCTTTGGACGCATGCTGCTTAGATTGGATGCCGAAGTAGTGCACCGCCATTCCAACAAAGCAGTCTCGATTGGGTTCTTTCTTTGGCTGCGTTTCTGGTAATTTATTATCTGCAATTATCCGCTGCTCTTGATAATTGAACTGCCATCCCGAATCCTCCAATTCTTCCAAGTCTACAGACACGAGAGTTGCCTGGAGGTCTTTGGCTAGATATACGACGAAAGGCAAGTCGAGATCGCATAACGAGCAAAGAAGAACAGCTGCATGTGATGGGGACAGCTTCCCCCCCTTGTCGCGCATCATAAATACAGCAGTGACATCTCGCAGCTCGGAGAAGCTATCGTGCGAAATTTGGTGTCCGAGAATGTCGACTTCCTGGTCAAGTCTGCCTTTAGTTTCGCTAGCATTGTCTCCAGACCTGCCACTCGCGGCGTTTGGGGACTCTTGCTTGCACGTATCGGGTGTCTTTCCTAGTATATGCTCCAGGATTTTGCTATATGACGTTTTTGAAGACTCGAGCTCGTCAATTCCTTCATTGTTTTCCAAGGCATTGTTGGCGTTCCAGAATACCAGCCGACATGGGAGCGGGCGGTCATTGAGCTCTGCTGTGGTCTCAACGTTATTGGTCAAGAAGCAAGGTGGTAGAAGAAAGCCATTGTGACTCTCTCTCGACGTTTGCTTCTGGCTTGATGCTTGTTTCCTAGCGGGTGACGACATTATTTTGATCTGATGCATCCAGACACAGCGCAGATTCAGCCTCAGCAAACATCCGAGATGCTAGTAAGAAGACAAAACAGGGAGTTTTGATAATATTAAAACACGATAAGTTATGAAAGGAAGAGGGATCGAATTGACGCATATGTACGTACAGTATTGTGATGGCCGAGTAAGTGCTCAGATGCCTTCCAAGTTCCCACTTTGTTTCCCAAGTAACCACGACATCTGTACTGCACCACCATGATTGCATACTTTGAAGCCTTGTGAGTTGAATCTTGACTATAGATTATTGGAGAAAGTCCCAAACTGCAAATACTAGCTCAGATTTTAAGTCGGATGCTAATCTTTGCCTCACAATGCAAATAATAAGATTGCAAAGCCAGCGTCGCAGGCAAGGTCTTCATCCAACGTTAGACACCAAAACATGCATTGGTGTACATCGTTTCTCATGTAGATATAAACCATACGCTCGCCAGTATGCGATGTTTTAATAACTAGGTACTATAATACAATCATGACATATGCCTTTCATGGTTAAATCTCGTTATTTGCCCCCGTGTCGATATCAGAAAGTGCAAAGTACAGCTAAAAAGGGCCCAGTTCACGCCCAGCACACGCCCGTTTAATCGTGCCGTTGGTGCTGAGTGCTAGAGACGGTTGACGTAACTCGTGCAATGTTGAAGATGAGCAGAAACTAGAAGTATCTTGATCCGTGCCGGTGAAAATGAAAGCAAAAGAGCTGTTGTTGTTCAGTGAGACGCTTGCTGCCTGTCCTTGGAGCCAGTCGGACCAAGTCGTTCGACGCCAGCCCTGGGACTTTGGATGGCCGTTCCTTCTTCAAGATCCCAAGCCTCTACGGTGCCATTCATTCTTCCCAACAGAAGTACTTTGGTATCAGCAGAGAAGGCAGCAGCAGTGACTATGCTGGCAACACCGTCATTCTCGCGGTCTTCCCAAGCGATAAGTCCAGAGGCGACATCAACAACATCGAAGCCATTTTCAGTGCGATTTGCCATCCAGCGCAGACCGGGAGAGATGCAGAGGGGCCAGCCCTCTGTGGTGCGGGTGGCATTGAGGTTGTACGAAGTGAGGTGGTTGGCCTGTGGGAGCCAGACATGAACCATGGTTCCCCAAAGTGACACAATGGTCCGTCCATTGGGGCAAACGGCTAGGAGACGTGGGTTGGTTGATCCGCGGCCCTCGATTTCGAGCTTCGTGATGGTCTTGGCAGTTCTGGGATCCGTGACGCGAACCGTGCCGTCGCGGGAGAGCGTAACAAGCTTGTGATCTGGCGTAAAGGCAGCGTGGGTAATCTTGTCTATGTGACTGACAACACTGCCGACTCTAGCACCTGTTCGTCCGTCCCACACTCCCATTCTTCCGTTGCATTCACCAGCCGCAACGGTGATGCCATCTCTGCTCCAGACGACAGGCTCAGAAACAGCCCCATTTAGTTCAACGATTGTCTTGCCTGTGGAAAAGTCCCGAACTAATACGGTGCTGGCATAGGGATATTCCACACCCTGGCCAACTTGCACAGTCCAATTCCGGATGGTTGCGACTCGGTTCTTAGCAGCCCCCGCGGGTGCAAGAGCAGCGTGAGAGCCGGTAACTTTGGTGTAGCCCTTCCGACTGAAGAGGTCAAAAAAGTCAACCCACGACTGACCGGTGCTTGGATTGGCATAGACGCGGAATGCGGACGCCAAAGAAGACGAAGTAGGCGACAAGCCCACAGAAGTAATCTCTGTCTTGGCAGAAACCCATTGGTAACGTCGTACAAGTGTTAGTTGTGAAAGGAGGGGCTCGGGTATTTCTGACGGAGAGAACCTGGGAATCATTAGCTTTTTTTGTGCACAAAAGAATTTCGAATTTTTCTGGATAGACGTGAGCGGCCTACATGATGTGAAAGCTAAAAGAAGTCGTTTATGTAGATGACTCGCGAGCGTTCAGTACTCTTAAGCGATGAGTTTCCGAAGGGTGGTGCGTCAGCCACTACAAGACAAACGATGCGAACTCATTAGCAGAGTTCAAGAGTGCTCATGTGTGTCGATAACTTTCGGGTTATATATATTGATTCGCCTAATGTTTGCGCTGATGATGATGTTTGCCCAAGAAAAGAACGGCGGAGTATTAGTGGGTGTAACGCATTCTTAAGTTCCCCAACACAACATGAAGCCTGAGCATCATCGTGATAAGCTTTCCCCAATTACGACATATTGTCAATCGTGGTTGTTTTTCGAGAAATGACAGACAAAGACATCGCGATATCGAAATGGAAAGAACTGGTCACTGCCCGGTATGCAGCCGCCGAGAGCCGAGTGACAAGTCGGCTATGAGCCGCATTGCTAATCAAACGACAACGGCCTCACTGACAAACTGACGCCAGGAAAACAAGACTATGACACGCTTGCCGCCAAAGAAAGAACTTGGTTGGGCCTTGGCCGAGACTTCAATTCGTACTGGGAGGGCTGAATTGTGGCTGACAGCGCTGAAGTACGGAGGACACTCTTGGCATGACGCTTAACAAAATGGGTAGCCGTTATGGTGTGCTGTTCTCATCACGCTGCACATCAATTAGCGTTTGTCAGACCTTGAGGGATTAGAAATATGCCAGGGCAACAAACTCTTCACAGCCCACAACACCAACAGCTGTTAGTGAACGTGTAGGCAGGTACTTGCCCTTCCGAATTGAGCTCGCCGAAAGAACATATCGCCAATACTTCTACTGCGATTCCAGGAGTCTGGGTGCGACCGTACAATAGGATGCAGGGCCTGGATTTGACAGGCCAGCTTCGCGGCAAAACGTGGTGCAGCTTCGGCGAGGCTTCTTCGGCGAGACCAATCAGGACTAGCGCCCTTGCAGCAACCGATTGCGGAGCTGTGGGGCACTGGTGACATGGACGAGATACAACGACGGAGTACGGAGTAGCACCAGCGAAAAGGCTGCAATGTTGGAAGCTGAATATGGAGAGAGAGTGGCTCCTGTTCATTGTTGTTCCACCCAATTCAATCTTCACCTGGCAGTGCGGACTAAGTTCTAGGGTGCAGAAAAGGATAGCACGAGAGTAGCAAATCGGCAACAACCAGTTGGCCTCCAGTCGCTCCTTCCCCAAACCGCCAACCGAGACATCAAGGTTCCCAATTGGCTGTTGCACGTACTTTAAATACCTAGTATGTACTCCGTACAAACGTTGCCCATCATCTTTCGCATCTTATCCAGACGACATCCTCAGTTGCCAAATGCCTCGTCATAACCCGTCATGCATGATCGATAGCGCACGCTGCTGTTCTTCAACTTGCCCATGGCCTGCTGCAGGCCCTCTCTTGAGATGGGAATCTCCTCCACCCATGATTTAATGCCCTTCTCCGCAGCAAGCTCGAACATTTCTAGCATCTCCCGGCGGCTTCCCAAGTGCGAGCTTCCAATGAAACAGCCATTCGAGATGAAATCGAAATTGTTCACCTTGATGCCTTCACCACCCGGCAGGCCTACAGAGTTCCATCGGCCGTGGACGTCGAGCAGGCTCAGGTACTCGCTGAGCTGGAAGCCGTCGAACGAGTTGGCCGTGTTGATGATGAGATCAAATGTCATCTTGTGCGGCTCGTTCCAGCCCTTCTCGCTCGTGGCCAGGAATCCATCAGCGCCCATCTTCTTGGCATCCGCCTCCTTGGCGCGTGAGCGGGATATGGCCCAGACTTCGGCTCCCAACGCCTTTGCGAACATGACGGCGAAGTGTCCAAGACCACCGATGCCAACGACACCGACCTTCTTACCCGGCCCAGCCCCGAATCGCTTTAGGGGGCTGTAAACCGTGATGCCGGCGCAGAGCATTGGCGCAGCCTCTGAGCTGGGGATGGCATCTGGGATGGGGTATACCCTATATAGCTGATGTTAGCATCCTCGCCCGCCCCGGTCGTCAGATTGACAGGCCGACCAGCTTCAAACAGCACAGATACGGGTTTCTTCCTTCTTACCAATATTCATGGATTCGGGTGTGGGATGAATACCCTCCCTGGGTCGTATAGCCGGTATCCAGGTAGGGTGCGCCATAGGCGTCAATCTGGTGCTTACAATACGTCTCATTGTCGTTCTTGCACTGTCGGCAATCCAAGCAAGAATACACCTGGGCACCGCAACCAACACGCTGCCCAACCTTGGCCAAGGTGACCTTGGGTCCAACACGCAAGACTTTGCCGACAACTTCGTGCCCGACAGCCAGCGGGTAAGGGCAGCCGCCCCAGTCGCCACTTATGGTGTGCATGTCACTGGCACAGACACCACAGCATTCGATCTTGATGTCGACGTCGTAGTCGCCAAAGGGACGCGGGGTCCAGGAGTTCTTCTCAAACTCGAGCCATTTCTCGGCGGATGGGGCTTGGAAGCCGCTGAACTTGTCGGGATACGACATTGTTTGTTTGCAACCAATACGAAGGTAAAGCTTAAAGTCGCGATATCAGCTTGACAGGAATGCCTTGCTCAGCAACGCTAGGAGGGTACGGGATTTAGATCTGATTCGGGGAGTAGGGAACGAAGCCAGGAGACACAAACGGCGGACGGTCCATATATTAAACCACGTTCAGTTCTTCAGAGCTGCCCCTCATCCTCCGAGGACACACTTGCACATAAGGGGCACATTATCCGTACCGTGGGGAACAACGAAGCCACCTCAGTTGCCATCAATTTCAGCCCAGATCCTATTGCCCCGAGATAAAAACCGGCGTTGCGGCACCGGCGCGGCCACGAGCCCGGTCGTCATGTCCAGCTAAGAAATGAAGGGCCTGCGCAGGCTCGGTGTTAAAACTCCCCGAACCTGGGGGACCTTCACCCCACCATGACGACTGGTGGCTTGATGATCCGTTTCAGAGCACCGATTCTTCCACCAACAAAAAGCGTCGGGTGGCAAACAGCAGCCAGCGCGAGTTGGACCTCCACGATATCAAGACCGGGTTCGGAAGAAACATGGCAGCATCACGGGTAGGAATTGAATTTTGATTTATTTATTCTTTACAAGGGCCCTCAGTCTTGTCGTTTAATTCGGCGTCGCTTGATAGCCCCAACCTATGTATGTACACTCCACATAGTGAATGCCATATCCGCGTAGCCCTCAATGTTGCCTTCTCTTTGAATCCCGCAACCCAACACCCGCAAGAAAACAGATCCTCAACGCAGCCCCGGCATACACCCACGGCACGTTGCCCCAGTCCCCGGCATTCCAGCCAAGCACATGGTAGTAGATGGCGGGACCCAGCGCCCTCATCGAATACAAATGGCCAAAATCCGCAATCAGCATCACGAGCAGGACGGTTCTCCAGACGCGCATGTCCCACGTCGACCGCAGCACAAGGGCCTCGTTGATGGCGAAGAACAGGTACATATTCGCCAGCTGGGACATGGCGACCGACGTGCCAAGCGGCACGGCTGACGCGTCCGGCGGGGCAGACGCGCCGTCGAGCAGCGCCAGGTAGTCACTTTGGCGGAAGTGGTTGAAGTAGGCGCCTGCCAGGGCCGAAACGGGCTCCAGCAGCAGGAAAAAGAAGCGGTAGACGAGGGGGAGGCGGAAGCCCTGGCGCTGGACGGCCATGACGGGTTGACTGGTGACTGGTGCTGGCAAGATGGGATTTCGCCCGCGGTGAGGGTAGTCAAGGTGGTCTGGTGCTGTACTCCGTATAACAGAGAGCAAATTTCTCAGGTTCAAATACACGTTGAGGCTAGGGTATGAGCTACCGGGTAGTAGGTAGGCAGGGGTCTGGCGCGCCCCGATGCCCCAGCCCCAGCCCCACTTTTTGCTCCGAAGCAACAGCACCTGTGCGGCTGTGCCATACAAACTTGACCTCATCTAAATATTCACGCATCCAGGTCCCATGCACCAAACATCGCCCGCCAACTAAAGCAAGGACCACAGCCTAAAGGGGATCCAAAGGGGCCCAGGGGAGAGAAATACAAGGCCCAATCCCCTCCAACAACGTACGGTAGGTAGCCACATCCCAGTCCCAAGGCTCACCAGACACCGAGCACCATCACATTCTCTGTACGCAGCAAACAAGGCCATCCCATCGACGCCCAGCTGCAAAACACAGGAGCCTAGCTTTCAACACAGCCAAAGCAGCATTTTCTCTTGGTGCCATTCCTTCCTGAGAGCGTCCCTGCGCCAGCTTCAATCAAGAATAAATAGCACGAATCGGCCATATAGTCAAACCTCCACCAAACCGCCATCTTATGCTTGCTTCTCTCCGCGTCGAGCAAGGCGTCGTGATATACCTTTTCTTTGCTGCTTGTAGCCAAACAAATGAAAACCGACTCATTTCATGCCATGCCCGACGCATGTTGCACACGGACAACATCAATTTCCCCTGTCACTTGTTCGCTCAGTCGCACATCACACGTCACACAACACGCCGTGTCATCCAAGAGCTGATGTCATTCATGCTTGCCTAGCATTGATTCATTAAATCAACTACCTATATTGGAAAGCTACCTAGGTATATTGCAACAAACACATCGATATTCTGCTCGTCAATCTCCTGCCCCTGACGTGCGTCACTCGCAAGTGTCGCGCCACAGCACTGTTTGAATAGACAATCAAAACATGCCAAAAAGCTTCGTCACATCTCCAGCCCATATATATATTTATGTATTGCTCACTTATGTTCGGGAACCGAGGTCGCAATGACAAACACAGTCGTTGTCCGAACGACAATTGACAGATCGTCGCACGCCGGCGTCTCGTGCAACGTCTTCGTTGATGCTGCTGCATTTGCTATGCTAGCAGTCTTATCCTGGCCAAGACCATCTTCTCCGGGCCCTTGGCTTTCCGGTGGTAGCTTTTCGTCATCATCCTACGATGACTCAAAAGCAGCAATCGCGGCGCAAAAGTTATTGCGGTTGTCAGAGTCTTTGATCGCTGCTTGGCCATTCAAAGTCACCATAGAGATACTAGCCTTGGTGCTGATGCCGAACATGTGCACCTCGGAATTCTCAAGAGAGATCATGTTGTCTTGGCAGTTGTTGGCGGCCACACATTTCTGGGCGTAGTTATCGTAGAAGCTGTACAAGCCGCCGCCATACACAAAGGTGTTCGTAGAGTTCTGAGCTCGGAGACCCCATGTGCGGGCACACCTAGGACCGGTGCACGTGGAGAAGTCGGGGTCAGAGAACTGGCTGTTGACCTTGAATGGGACGCGGGCATCTGGGTTGCCCTGCATATATGCCGTCTCCGTTTGAATGAGTGACATGTAAACATTCTCAGCGTTGGTGAGCTGGTAGTTATAAAGCTGGTTGTGCTCAGAAGCCGTTCCCCACAGCCAGAGTCCCTTGGTGCTCTCGATGAGGACGCCGCGACCATTGTAAATGTTGATTTGGTTGTGGTCTGGCAGGTCAAGTTCATGATCGGCGACCCAGAACCAAGTGTTCTCGAAGTAGGCACTGGCACTCGGAGTAACGTGGACTAACATGAAGGAGCCAACACACTGGGGGTTGGGAGGAGCCTCTGTTTCGGGCTTTTTGCTGCACTTGTCGGACTGGAGCTTAGTGCCAGTGGCGCCTGCAACCCGGAAGTGTACATCCCAGAAACCGACAGATCCCTGACTTTCACCAGCAACATTGACCTCCATAAGAATAGCGCCAGGCTGGGGACCCTTGGTCGCAAACACGAGGTCCTGCATTTCGACGTTGCCAGTCTCACCGGGTTGACCGACCTGGAACACAGGCTTGGGCTTTGACTCATCGGCGAAGTTCTTGCAGCCACCAGCGAGAATTAGAGGCCAAGCCTCACCAACAATCTTGCAGTCCCTGGGCACCTTGACGGTGTCTGTAATGACGTAGACGCCATGGTCGATGTAAACAATCTCGCCCCGGCGAACGTTCTTGAAGACTTTCTGGAAGGCGGCGGTATCATCCGTCTTTCCATCACCTATGGCGCCTTGTGACTTTACAGAAATGAACTTGGACGCTGAAACGGTCTCATACTGAGGCTTGCTTTTTGTGACAATTTTGCTGGTGCTGTCGGTAAGAGCAGCAGGCTTAGGAACAGGAGCTCTCGCATCCTGTCCGGCCTTGCCAGTTGCGCCAACATATGATCGGCCCTGCGCCCAGGATTGGATGAGAGCATTGCCAGCAAGAATTGTCTGGTTCCTGTCATTCTGGACGGCAAAAGGGACACCTTTGGTCGTGTCAACATTGTCCAGGACAAGAGTACCGTTGGTGCCTGATTGGGTAGGTTCATAGGCGGTGATAATACCGACACGAGTGTTGGAGATGGTGCTGTCAGTAAGAAGAACGGAACCGACAGTCTGGACGCTACCTCCGTTGGCCATGTTGATACCGACGTCGCAACTGTCGATAGAGATGCCGTGCAAAGTCCAGACCCAGTTCCAATTCATGAAGATGGCAGTTTGGCAGTTGTTAAACTTGAGGTTGCGAGTGGTGAATTGCTGGTTGCCCAAAAAAGCGCCAAGACCACCGCCGTTGAAAGTCAAGTCGCTCATGAAACCGCCAGATCCATTTTCCATAAAGATACCTTGCTGCTTGTTCTTGGATGTCTTGTTCTGAACCATGTTGAACACAATGTTTTGCAACGACGTGGCCTGAGCAACTTGCCAATGGATACCCGTACCAGTCTCTTGGGGAAGACCAGTAAGATCAATCACGAAGTTTCGAATTTGACGAAAGAAGTTGTTTTGATTGGTATGCCAATTGGTGCCATCGCTGTTATAAGGATTCGAGTCGATAACGGCAATTCCCTCAAAGTCGGCCCTGGCCTTGAGAGTAGGCACGCTAACAGCATCACCAACAAGCTGGGTATAGTAATATTGGATGATGGGCTTTGACACAACATAGGTACCGGGAGGAAAATAGACGAGGGCGGGAGTTGTGGTGCTAGAATCGCACCCCTTACCACAGCGATTCCCGGCAGAGATGGCTTTATTGATGGCGTCGGTATCATCGGTGCTTCCATCACCCTTGGCGCCAAACACCTTGACGTTGCGAAAGACTTTGTAATCGTCGGCGGCAAAAGGCGCCTTGCCCTGTCGCGTTATGCCTGCCATCCACCAGCTTCCGTCTGTGGCAGGGTCGGTAGAGTTGGCCCGAACATTGGAGCCAGTTGATGGTGCCGCAAGCGAGGGCGAAGAGAAGAGTTGGAGCGTCAACAGGGACGCTGAGACGAATGTTGACAGTCCCATAATGAAATGGAATTAGCTGCCTCTTCGTTTGAAAGATGCGCGTGTCTGATAATCAACCGAGAGTTTCTGCGGAAAGGGAAGATTTAATAGTTAGTAATTATGCCGTGGAAAAGGTTGCGCGTAGAAGAGCTGATGATGCACGATAGAATCTTGTGCTGTTTGAGTTGTCAATTTTAAAGTAAGAGGTACTAGAAAGTCTGGACGTAGAGAAGAAAGGGCATGTGTACCAAATATACTTTTGAGTGCAGTGGTAAACAAAAAAAAATCGACAACGGGCCACCTGACGTTGAACCAGACAAAGTCATGAATACAACCGAGCCAAACAGACTATAGTGCAGAACGCCCCATTATATACGACTTCATGTCCAGAACACGCCATGGAGCCGGTTTGAAACGTCTGTCCAGGTATCAATTGAGACATCGTCATTAGGAGAAGAGGGGGGG